GGTAGGAGTGATATTTGAAAGGTTATGAGAAAACGGGGTTGAAAAGTTTTATTGCTTTGCTAACCAAGGAGAAAACAGTGGACTCCCTTCTCAGAGGCTGTGATCCTAACTGTCAAGGGAATAGTGGGCTTTTAAAGAGGGCTACATTCCAGGTCTACCCGTAGCAGTAGTCATAATTCATTTGTATCCTTGAAAGAGAGAGAGAGAGAGAGAGAGAGAGAGAGAGAGAGAGAGGAGATAGCCAGTATCTTAGATTTGCAGGTGCCAGGGACAAAGTCTGGATTCTTTCATTGTGTTGTCCTTGAGTCCTTCACTCTTGCGGTCTGTGAGCCAAATGATAGAAAAATCGGCATAGGAGGGGAAGATTAATCTTGCTTCCTTCATGGTTAGGGAGGGAAGAAGGAGAAGAGGAAAGAGGGGAAATCGTCATGTTAAAAATAAGCTGCAGTCACAGAGCAACAAGGGTCATATATGAAGCATGAAATGGACCCTGTCACAGGGAGTCCTAAGTGAAGCCCCGTTATTCTTAACCTTCCCCCTGCATGAAGTCAGGTTGGTATAATTTTGCTGATCTCTTTAAGTTTTGCATAATTTATCATTTATCTTATTTACAAACATTCTTGATATTTTTACTGGTCTCAAAGTTCCTTCTTTGAACACTTAGTGTAGTTAAATTTCTCATTTCTGCACATAACCTATGCTGGAACTTAAATCACAAGCAACCAAGCTTGATAAAATCGTTTGTAAAGTAAATACAAATAAATTCCAAGTAACTGGGCATGTAATCCCAGCTAGATGGGAGGCTGAAGCAAGAGGATGGCAAATTTGAGGCCAGACTTGGAAACTTACACTCCATCCCAAAATAAAATTGCATGAGGGATTGGGAGTGTAGCCCAGAGGCAGAGCACTTGCCCTGCATGTGTGAAGCTGGGGGTTCAATCCCCAGTACTGCAAAATAAAATAAAATAAATTCCAAGTAAACTACATTAAAGGATGAAATATAAAATGAACTCAGGTTAAAGATTGTATTTGACTCAGAGTTAATGAGGAAAAGTAAGATGTTAAACTTCAAAGGAGAATCCAAAGGGCAGAGTAATTGATCCAGAAATGTTTAAGTTGTGAAAGAGCACAAAACTGCAGGACAGAGTTGTCCCATCACCGGGACAGAATTTATTTACATGTCTACAAACAAGAATTACTTTTCATTACTGTCAGCTACAATTTTACAAAGTTATAAGGTAGTTCAAAAGTAATGAAAGGCTAGAACCAGATAACCTGGAAAGATGCTAGAAAGACCAAGGTTAATATTTTCTTAAAAGATCATATAGTAAATATTTAGGTTTTATGGGCACTACCTGCCTTGAAACCACTCAGCTCTGCAGTTTTAGGGAAGCAGACGGAAACAGTATGTTAAAAAAAATAAGCATAGCTGTGTTCTATTAAAATCATATTTACTAAAAAAAAAAACACATACCAGCTGTACAGTGAAGTTTTTCCATTGGAAACATTTGGAATTTTTGCTTATTCCAAATTTCCTTAAAACTAAATAAATGGTGTAGAATTTTTTTTTAAAAGAGAGAGTGAGAGAGGAGAGAGAGAATTTTTAATATTTATTTTTTAGTTCTCGGCAGACACAACATCTTTGTTGGTATGTGGTGCTGAGGATCGACGGACACAACATCTTTGTTGGTATGTGGTGCTGAGGATCGAACCCGGGCCGCACGCATGCCAGGCGAGCGCGCTACCGCTTGAGCCACATCCCCAGCCCTGGTGTAGAATTTTTTAAAACTCTTTTTAGTTGTAGATGGACACAATATCTTTATTTATTTATTTATTTTACATGGTGTTGAGGATCAAACCCAGTGTCTCACACATGTGAGGCAAGTGCTCAACCACTGAGCTACAACCGCAGCCCCAAAATTGTATAATTTTTAATGACAATTATTTTGTTTTTACAGAGCCTGGGTTTTATTTTGAATTACTTTTTTATTTTTTGATGGGGTCCCACTCTGTTGCCCAGGCTGGCCTGGAATTAGCAATCCTCCTACCTCAGCCTCTCAAGTGGCTAGGATTACACCACATCCATCCAGAGTTAGGATTTTAAATATGGCATATCCAAATATTTCTTATTTCTAATAATAAAAACTAATTTATTTGAATAATTAGACTTACCTTAAAGAAAACTATTCCTTGGCCATTGAAAAGTGTTTCCTGGGGGCTGGGGATGTGGCTCAGTGGTAGAGCGCTTGCCTGGCATGTGTGAGGCACTGGGTTCGATCCTCAGCACCACATAAAAATAAAATAAAGATATTGTGTCCACCTAAAGCTAAAAAATATATATTAAAAAAGAAAAGTGCTTCCTGTGAATTTTTTCTTCTATCCTGATACTTTTATGTCAGACTCAAACATGTCATTCAGAATCCAGATATTTTTACCTCCTCTGAAATCCTTATCAGGAATTTTAACTCTTATGACCCCTACACTAATTTTTTTAATGTGAAAATGAAAAAGCCTTCCCATTTTTCCCCTTATAAATCTTTCCCACTCTTGTGAATGCCTTTGGGTTTCTGCTCAGTGTAAGTGTCAGTGGCTAATGTTTGCTATACCAAAGTCTGACTACATAGCTTTTGATTTTCTTCACTTGGGTGGTCTTCATTTATTTGCACACTTACAAAGTTATACATATACTTGCTGTGTGGCCCTGTAATTTCACCCCTAGGTATTGAACCAAGAAAAATGAAAATACATGTATACAAAAATCCTTTTGTGAATGCTTATTCATAAGTGCTAAAAAACGAAAACAACCCAAATATTCATCAACTAGTGCATAAGTTGTGGAAGGGTAACAAATTGTGATAAAGTTCTTAGAGTAAAATACTACTCCACAACTAGAAGGACAGAATTACTGAAACATTAAACAAAATAGATGTATTTCAAAAGTATCATTATATCAAGTGAAAGAAGACAGACTCAAAAGGCCACAAACTACATGAATCCATTTATAAGACATTCTGGGGGAAAAAAAAAAAAGCAAAACTATTGACAAATGTCTTAATCTATTTTATGTTGTTATTACAAGATTCTTGAGCTGCATACTTTATAAATACAAGAGGCTTATTTGACTCACAGTTCTGTAAACCCAAGAGCGTGACACCAGAATTGGTATCTGGAAAAGGCCTCATAGTAGATAACATCACTATTTAAATGAAATGAGTTTGAGAGTGCTGAACTTTTCCTGAGTTTCAAAACCCTTCTACCCTTAAAGGATCCCCAGACTCTTGCATATTCTCAAATTAGAGCTGTTTTCATCCTTACTCAGTAAAGTCCCACAAAACTCACAAACAATACCTTTATTTACCTGTTTCTATAAAACCCAGTCCCTAACCATCATCCTTTTCTATGAAATATTCCTTAATAAACAATTGTATACCTATTTCAATAGCTTGAATAAAATAATGTCTCTAACTGGCCATTACATTTTTTCTTAGTATCATACAACAATCTAAATAGGCCTCAAGGATAGTATGCTTAGTGAAAGAAGTCAAACTGAAAAGATTATGATTCTATTTACATAGCACTTGCAAAATGACAGAACTATAGAGATTACAAATAAGGATGTTTTCCATCTGGGCACAGTGGCACATGACTGTAATCTCAGCAGCTCATGGGTGACTGAGGCAGGAGGAATAAAAATGATTTTTGAATAATAACATTGAATGTAAATGGCCTCAACTTATCAATCAAAAGGCATAGATTGGAGATTGTACCTAAAATCAAGACCCAATGATATAGTGTCTCTGACAAATTTACTTCATGGGCAAAGATGTCCACAGTATGAAGGTAAAAAGATAGGGGAAAAAAATGTATCATTCACATGGATCTTGTAAACAAGCAGGGGTTTCCTCATATCAAATAAAGTGGACTTCAAGCCAAAGTTAATCAGAAGGGACAAAGAAGGACATTTTATACTACTTAAGGGAATCATATATCAACAAGACATAACAATCTTCAATATTTATGCCCTAAACAATGGATCAACTTCATACATCAAACAAACTCTTCTCAATCAAGAATCAAATAGACTACAACACAATAATAGTGGGTAACTTTAACACACCTATCTTGCTAGATCCTCCAAACAAAAACTAGACAAAAAATATAGAACTAAAAAGTACAATTAATAATTTAGACTTAATAGACTATTTCATCCATCAATAAATGAGTTCATATACTTTCTTCTCAGAAACACATAGATCCTTTTCTAAAATAGACCATATTTTATGCCACAAAGCAACTCTTAGCAAATACAAAAAAAATAGAGACAATACCTTGCATTCTATCATATCATAATGGAATGAAATTAGAAATCAATAATAAAATAAAAAATAGAAACTACTCTAATACCTGGATATTAAATAATAAATTATTGAATGAACAATGGATAGCAGAAGAAATCAGGGATGAAATTTTAAAAAATACTTGGACATAAATGAGAATAATGATACAATGTATTAAAATCTCTGGGACACTATGAAGTTGGTTCTAAGAGGAAAGTTCATTGCATTGAACTCATTCACTGAAAAGTCACCAAATAAATAACCTAACATTACATCTGAAAGCCCTAGAAAAAGGAGAACAAATCAATTCCCAAAGCAGAATACAGAAATAATTAAGATCGGAGCTGAAATCAATGAAATTATAACTAAAAAGATCCAAAAATCAACAAAACAAAAAGTAGATTCTTGGAAAATAAATAAATAAAATTGATAAACTCTTAGCCAAGCTAACAAAGATAATGAGAGAAAATTCAAATTACTAAAATTTGTGATGAAAAAGGAAATATCACAATAGACACTACTGTAACACAGAAGATAATCAGAAACTATTTTGAAAATTTATACTGTAATAAAATAGAAAATCTTGAAAAATTTTCTAGAGAAATGAGACCTACCCAAATTGAATCAAGAGGACATAGAGAGGTCGCTCTGGGCGCGCGTGTGGAGACGTCTGTGGCGTTGGCGGCGGTGGTGGCCCCTGGGGCCTGAGAAGGTGGTGTGGCTGCGGGTTTTGCCCAGGGAGCGTGTTCGGGGCTGTTTCTTGGCCGGCTTCACGGGGACGCCACTGATCAGCGCCGGATGTGACCTTCTTGGACGATTCAAGTTCTTAAAAAGTTTCAGTGTACATTTGAGGTGGCTGTTTATACAAAGGAAGCACTGGGACTTGTGGCTACCTTCAAGAATAAAAAAATAGAAAATGGAACAACCATGTGTGTTATGTGAGGAAGAACAGGATCCAGAACCACAGAGCATAAAAGGAACCAAACAAATAGATGATGAAGATGCTGAACTGATCTTTGTTGGGGTGTCTTCAAATTCAAAACCAGTTGTTTCAAATATTTTGAATAGAGTGACCCCAGAAGAAAAGATACTGTTCGTAGATTGCAGCCTACAAGTCATGTGACCCCTTCATCAGAAACAGTGACTATGTTGCCAGTATCTCAATCTGAATCAAGATCAACAGATAGTCCTATTATTATTGAGCCTTCGTCTAAGCCTGATGATAAAAGTAATTCACCAAAAGTTGTGCCTAGTAGCTCTTCAGAATCATGTTCTCCTGTGGTTACCCTCACAAGTTCATTGCATCATCCAGTGAAAGCAGCACTTTCAGAAGGAGGTATGAATGAAAGTACTTGTATATCAAAGCGGTGTTCCAATTCTGAAGTAATTAGCATAAATCCCAAAAATCCTAAACTCAGTGATGGAATCACAGGAGGAGGATATTCTTTAACTTTGTCCCCTCCAAGTGTTTTTAATAATAATAATCCTCAGCAGAGTACATCCAATGATGTCCATACCTCAGTAAGCCATGTTCAGAATGTATTATCTTTTCCCACAGCTTTTCCAAAGGACAGTCTCCATTTAAAGCCTATAACTATAAATCCTGATAGGGAAAATGGGTTGGCAAAAACAGAATTTTCAGATCTAGCAAGTCAAAATAAGACCTTTGATCCCAAGAAAGGGAATTTGATTCTATTACTTAGTGACTTTTACTATGGACAACATCAAGGAGATGGGCAGCCAGAACAGAAAACTCACACAACCTTTAAATGCCCCAGCTGTTTGAAAGTTCTAAAAAATGTTAAGTTTATGAATCACGTGAAGCACCATTTGGAACTTGAGAAGCAGAGGGGTGACAGCTGGGAAACCCACACTACCTGCCAGCACTGCCATCGGCAGTTTCCCACTCCCTTCCAACTACAACGTCACATGGAAAGTGTACACACTCCACAGGAGCCCTCTGCTGTCTGTAAAATTTGTGAGTTGTCATTTAAAACAGATCAGATTCTTTTAGAACACATGAAGGACAATCATAAGCCTGGGGAAATGCCCTATGTGTGCCAGATTTGCAGTTTCAGATCATCAGCCTTTGCTGATGTGGAAACACATTTTAGAACATACCATGAAAACACTAAGAATCTACTTTGTCCTTTTTGTCTCAAAATTTTCAAAACTGCAACACCATATATGTGTCATTATAGGAGGCACTGGGAAAGG